AGGAATGCAGAGAGACAACTTTCAAGAGAAATAATTTCTACTGAAATTACTCATTTGTCTAGGTGCATAAAGTACTAATACTTCTGTAAAATGGAATCTCTTAGCTTTCTCCAGGCCAATCATACCTACTTTCACCCTGTGCATAATAGAGCAGTGTTTCCTGAATAAAAGTCACTGATGGAAAAGGATACTAGTAATTTTCACTACGACTTTAGGTTGTGTCTCAGAAAAATGATTACTTTAGAATTTATTAATATTCTTTTTTCAGGACTAAGTCATATGGTTGATGTGCTAATTGGATCTATGAGAAATATAGTTAGTTTAGTTTTTAGACTTTATTCATCTTTATCCTAAGTGTCTTCCACCTTCAAGCCATTAGCAAAAGATTTCCCTCTTTAGAAGACTTCCTCCCCCCAAAAAATGCTTGACAATAAATGCACCTAAATTTAAATTGGGATTAGAGGCATGTTCTCATAAGCAAACTTGAATTAACCTAAGTTTATATTATTTTTATTTAGGAGAAGAGACAAGCAATTAACATCAAAATTATGTTTAGACACAGATGCTAGATTAGTAAGTTGTATTTGAGCAGCATGCCAATGCAAACTACTGTGTATACATAAAACTCACAATTATCCTTGGCAACAGATACTCAGCAAATATGACTTAAGACAGATGTTTCAAATGTGACTCTTGAAGACAAATCTAACCTGAATTTTAATCCAATTTATTTCTCTTATCTATTCCCTTCTAGAAATGGGAATGGCCCCAAAAGAGTTCAAAGAGCACTCTACTTACATACTGAGTTCTCTTGGGCTGGGTAGCTTTGTCCTCCATGGCCCCCACAGCTGCTGGGGTGCTTCTGTCCCCGCCAGGGATGTGCATTTTGTCAGGGCTTTGTGTCTCCATCTCACAGGGAAGTTTGACATCTCCTACTCCCAGAGCTTCATTCTTATATTTCTTCACAAATTGCTCCATCTCCTTGACCTCTCTAGGAGACAGCTCATGGCATTTTGCAGGATCCTGGTCGTGTGCAGGGAGCTGCTTGGCCAGCTGCTTCTTCCGGTACTGTGCCCCCTCCGAGCCTGCCACTGGCTGCTTCTCCTTGGGCAGCATCTGCATGTATTGCCTGGCCTGTACCATAAGAAGACCAGTGTGAACTGCGGGATGCCTTGGCCATCAGGCAGTGCAATTGTTCATAACACACATCAGAAGCAAATTACTTAAGAAGCTGGTTTTATCAATTAGTAACAATCCATCCACATGTATAAATAATTTTGAGACAATACATTAAAAAATGTTATACTACATAGACTTAGTTGGGTAAAACTAAACGTGAAATGAAAGATTTTTGCCCCCCAGTTTGTAAAAAGATTTGGATATTACTGTTTACTTGTGCTAAATAAACAAATGTACAATTGCAAGAGAACACATATTTTTAGGTAGACAAGCTTAGATCAGAGGATGAGTACCATTTTCATCATATAAAATAATGGTATCATCACAAGAGGCACTTTAAGGATTTAAATAACCTTTAAAAAACAAACAAAAAAAACCCTCCAACATATTTCAACTAGTGGTTGAATAGTAGAAAGAACTATTTTCCCAGGTTTCTCATTTTCACAAAATCCTCGTTTATACAAAACTGCATATTTTTTGCCTTATATAGAAAAATATAGAATTAGGCATTTTTTTTCCAGTACTAAACAATGGTAGACTCTCTCTATAGTATTTACTATCTTGAAGAAATCAAGAGTAAGCTAGATGGGGCTAGCAGATGGCATAATGGCTAAGGAGCCGGGCTGCACATGCAGTTTTAGTTCCAGACCCAGTGACTTGAAAATCACAACAGGCATGTGTGTATGCATATCCCAAATCCCACATGCCCAAAATCCCAAGAGAAGAGTGGAGAAGAAACGACTGGCATGGCCACCCCTACTGGGGAGTGAGTTCTTGCCTCCTCTTTCTCTGTCTCTCTGCTGAGTGCATGTACCCTATGGCAAAAAAACCTGAAAAAAAAAGAAAAAGAAAAAAAGGAAAGAAAGAAAAAGAAAAAAGAGTAAGCTACATGAGTTATGAGACTGATATAAAACACCCAATTTTAGCAAATTATTAACAATGTCAGACCAATCTCTTAAAAAAGGCAAACAAATCTAGAGAGAAAAATTCTATGAGGTATCTTGTTTTACTTTCAAAAGATCCTAACAGGAGTTAAAACTCAAAGGAAATCCCCCTAAAATAACAGATTCAGGGTGTGTGAAATTGATGGTGTCACTCAAGGAAGTGCCTCAAGTAAATAGTCCAAGAACTTTAATAAAAGGATTCCCCTTCCTCTATTATTTACCAACGCCTGATTCTGGACAGGAGGAGCCCACTCGTAGGTGACGGTATTGATGGAGACATTCTTCTTGGCAGCAACTGGATTGGTCAGTATCATAACGTTGCGTTTGTACATGGGGATTCCGTCCGACTTGAGCTTGGCGATCAGGGTGGTATACTTGGTGTCTTCAAAAAGTTTCCCCACTTTTCGATCCTCTTCATTGCTCAAGAGGACATCATGCTCTTCTTGGCCACACTTGCAGTTACGGCATATTTTTCTATAATTTTGAAAATAAGTAGGAAATAAATTATTACAACTAATTATCCACAATTATATTCATAGAGTTCACAAAATACTTTTACATTTATTTTATTTATTTTTCTTAAGATTTTTCTTTCTTCCTTTTTTTTTTTTTTTTGCTATAGGGTGCGTGCGCTCGCCAGTCAGAGAGAGACAGAGAGACAGAAAGCGAGAAATCACCCCCCAGGGGGGATGATCACGCTGCAATCCCTTCTCCTCCATTCTCCTCTTGGGATCTTGGGCACGCACGCACACGCGCCCGGCGTGAGTTTTAAGCCACCGGGTCCGGAACGTGAACTGCAGTCGACTACGTGGGAGTCCAGCGACATAGCCATTACACTAACTGCTGGTTCCCTCTTTCTTCCTTTTTTAAGAGAGATTTTAGCTATAGGGAGTGTGTGCTTGCCAGAGAGACAGAAAGAGACGAAGACAGAAAGTGAGAAATCACCCCCTGGAGGGATGGCCATGCTGCAATCCCTTCTTTTCCATTCTCCTCTTGCGATTTTAGGCATGCACACACACAAGCTTTGCATGAGTTTTAAGCCACCAGGTCTGGGACTAGAACTGAGGTCGACTACATGGGAGTCTAGCAACATAAAAGCTATGCCATTTGCTGGTCCCAACATTGATTTTATATAATAGCATGCTAAGGAGGGAAAGGATTTATTCCTCACCTCTCCCAAAAGAAAGGGATGGGGTGAGAAATAAATATCTATCTATAAATTTAAGCAAAAGAAAAGACAAGAAAAATCACAGCAGGCATATGTGTGCATGCTTTATAATACTTTGCTTTATAGTACTCTGAAAAGTTAGGCCATGATGAAAATATGTATGATCAAGTGGAAATGTGTGAGGGTAGCCCCATCTGATGCTCCTCACTGCCTCACCAAAATAAATAAATCTATCATGCTAAAAAAATAAAAATTAATACAACCACCAAAAAATAACAAAAATTTTCAAATGAGAGGACTTCAAAGAAGTCAAAGAAAAGTGAAATTAAAGTATGAATTTTGGTGTAAAAAAATTCTAGCATAGTTTTTTCATAATACACAGTCTCCATGAACATTTTGGAGACTCCTGTATTTTATTATATGCTAAAATTTCATAGCCATTACCCCAAATTTTTAAAGTTCGTTTATTTCTTCAGACAGAGCGAAAGACACACGCAGGCATCCCCAGCAGCACTGTTGTGCCACCGTTAATCTCCAGCCTCAGCAAGCCCGGATCATGGACATGCAAGAACATGCTAGTCATGTACAGGGAGGTCTCAGAAAGCGAACCCAGGATCCTCTCATGTGAGCCCCACATCTCAGACCTGCGGGGTCACTGCTACACTGCTATCTGGTCTCTAATGGATTTTAGACGTGAGAGATAAGGAGATTGATATAACTTTTCCTGTAAGGACTAAAACCCTAAATTTAGTTTTCTCGTTTTCTTTTCTTTTCTTTTCTTTTTTTTTTGCTATAGGGCGCATGTGCTCACTGAAGAGACAGAGAGACAGAAAGTGAGAAATCACTCCCCCCAGGGGGGATGGCCACAACACAGTGGCCTGTCCTCCATTCTCCTTGCGATCTTGGGCACGCATGCACAAGCATCCAGTATGATTTTCAGGGTGCTGGGTCTGGGACTCAAACCACGGCTGGCCACGTGGGAGTCCAGTGCCTTAACCACTATGCCACCTGCTGGTCCCAGGTTTCTCATTTTCTGTCCTGCCTGAGTCCTGTCCCCATGCCAATTTCTTTTCCTCACTACTTTGACTCCTTTACCCACTCAGATTTTCTTTCTTCCTACCCTCTTCTGTTTCTCTTTCCTTCTAGATACCTAAGGACCACCTACCATGTGGTTCATTATGTTTAAAGGGACAAATAAATGAAAGTCTCTGCCCTCATTGCTTTTCTGAGGTCCAAAGACACTGCTCTCTTCCCCACTCTGGTCAAGTGCATAATTATTCATTCATACAACTCACATGGAAAGCAACATACTTCATACTAGGACACTGCTATGAAAAACATGGACCCAGTCTCTAATCTTTAAGAACTTACTGTCTGGTCGGGACGGAGACACCAAACAAGCACAAATATACACACACTGCCCCACAAGTATTATGATAAAATACTTCTCAGGATATCATTTTGACTTGAACTGGTGAAGAAAGGACTCCCTGAGAAGGTAACCGCTGAAAAATGTGAACTGTGTATGTGCGTGTGCACTACCTGTAGTGGTCCTGAATTAGGAAAGAAATTATTTCCTTACATTTCATAGCCAGAGAAGGGTGGTGTGTGAGTTAAGTAAATGGGACACTGACACAGGGGGAGAAGTGAGCTGGCATGAGGTCGTGAAGGCTCCTATAGGACACATTAGGGAATTTAATATTCATTATAAGAACAATCAAGAGGCAAGGCTTTTAGGTAATGAAGTAACAGGATCAGATTTATAATTTTCGAACATTACAGTACCTGCCATGTGGAGAATGGATCAGAGAGCGAACATCATCAGAGGTAGGGAGGCCAGTTCACATGTGAAGTGTACCTTCAGTTTGCATTGGCCTGGTTCTAAGTAACGGGGACACTGTGGCATTTCACACATGGGACTTAAACCTCGCGTGGCTATTACTATAGTCCTGGTAAGACGTGTTAGAGCACGGACTAGAATATTTTACAAAAGAGATGAAATAAAAAAGAAACAGATTTGAGATTTCCTTTTTTTTTACTTTTTTTGGAGAAGTTTTTTGCTATAGGGCGCATGCGCAATCCCTTCTAGGGGATTTGAGATTTTCTTGAACACAAAAGTGACTAAAATTATAGTTGATCTGGGCATAGTGATGGTGAAGAGAAGGCCTGGGCTTTCAAAAAATGAACACATTTAGGGGGGCCAGCAGTTAGCATAATGGCTATGTTGCTGGACTCCCATGTAGTCGACCGTGGTTCGAGTCCCAGACCTGGTGGCTTAAACTCACGCCAGGTGCGTGTGCGTGCGTGCATGCGTGCCCAGGATCCCGAGAGGAGAATGGAGGAGAAGGGATTGGAATGTGACCATCTCCTCTGGGGGGTGATTTCTCGCTTTCTTTCTCTCTGTCTCTGTCTGTCTGGGGAGCACATGCACCCTATAGCAAAAACCTCTCCAAAAAAAAGAAAAAAAAAAGAACACACTTTTGGGATAAGTTTGTAGACGAATGTAACTTATTACAATGGTAAATATAAAAGAGTAACAGATCTGGAGAATAAAGTAGGGAAGACTGATGAAAAGTCTCCAAAACCATGCTATGAACAAGTTTCAAATGCCTCCGAGACAAGGTAAAGATACTAATTTTGTGCACTCTGGGCATCAGCTTAAGAGTGCTCAAAATCCAGAAAGAATGGAGTAGGGATTGTATTGTGCCCATCTCCCTGGGGGTGGGGGGCACTTTCTCTCTCTCTCTCTCTGGCAAATGCACATACCCTCTAGCAAAACTTAAAAAAAAATCAGGTAGATTGAATATATAGAGCTAGTATTAAAATGGGTAGTCTTGGCTGACTCCATGGTTCAAGTCCTGGATCTGGCAGTTTGAGAAACACCAGACACATGTGCATGTGTGCCCAGAATCCTGAGAGGAGAATACAGAAGGGATTGTGTTGTGGCACTCCCCTACAAGAGGTGATGTCTCACTTTCCCTCTCTCTAACTCACTCCAGTGAGCACATGAGCCCTATGGCAAAAATCCAAAAACTCTATAAAAACTGTTGTCTGGTAGGAAACATAAATTTGGCAGTCAGGAAATAATCCGTTATGTACATAAGATGAACTGATCACCTTCAGCTCTTGGGGAAAATGCAGGGAGAAAAAGGGAGGACCCAGGAAAGAGTATCTGGTAGAGCAACAGAAACTAGGAAAGGTGACACGGGAAAACGGAAGTAGGGAGGCTGGCGTTAACAAACTGGAACTAAAACACAGGGCCACGGCAGCACATTAGTGAGAGGGTGGATGTGAGCACTCTACAAAAGCGGTCTAATGGTCCAGCCACGGTGGTGCAGGCAGCAGGGGTGCTGCTGCGTGATGCTGAGACCACATGTGAGGGTTCTGGGTTTGCATCCTGAGGCTACCTGAACATGCCAGGTGGCGGCAGATTACGGGAAGTACTGTGTGTGAAGACCCTGGATAGGGTCTGCCTGCCTGCCTATTTTATGAAGGAAATAAACTTTAAAAAAATATTCCAAGATCTTTACATTTTTAGGAAGATCCTAAAGATACAGGTTAACAGTACATATTGTTAGGTTAAGTATGCAAGTTAAATATCTAAACAACTAAGGAAAAAATCACAGCTTAACAGCTCAAATGACAAAACAGGGAAGAATAAAAATAACTAAGATAAGTGTTCAGCTTAAGAAGTTAAGAAAGGGGTCAGTAGGTGGTGTGGTACTTGGGGCACTGGACTCCCACATGGCAGACTGTGGTTTGAGTACTAGACCTGGTGACTTGCTTTCTCTCTTTTCCTCTTTCTCACTCTGATAATTATAGCAAGTTAAATAATAATAATAATGATAAATAAAATTTAAGAAATTCTTAAAAAATAAAAGAAGTTAGGAAAAAGGCAGAAGCCTAAAGTACAGAGGAAAAGAAAGATAACAGCAGACTAATGAAGTAATGTCTGTTTCTCATTAGATGCAGAAAAAGCATCCAACACATTTCATTATCTTTTATTGTATTTTATTCAATATTTTCAGAAATAGAAGTGAACTAAAAGGATTCTAAGAGTTTCTGGGGAAAAATAAAACAAACTCAGCATAGTTTATGCTTAGTACATTAATTTTTAAGATCTGAAGCAAGAAAACAACATTGATATCACCAATTCTATTCATATCTATTCAATAAAAGAGACAAAAAAATTTAAAAATGAAGTTATGAGGATTCATTAGAACAGAAGAAACTCAAATGTTATTCACAGATGTTATGACTGATCATACTGAAATGCAATAAAATAGCATTAAAAAGAGTTTAGTAA